TTTTTTTACTGGGTTAAGCTTAGAGATGTAACTTTAAAAAAACGGTCCGTTTTTTTTTGTTTTTTTTCATGTTTTTTTCATTGTTTTTTTTTTCAAATGGTTTTTTTATATTTTAGGATTTTTTTCAAGATTAGTACCATTTTGCGTAATTTTTTATGTTTCCAGTCCAGTTCATGGACTAAAATTAGCCACTAAATGACATTTATTAAATGTAAATACAGTCTCGACTTGACCAATAAGGGCCGCGCTTGTTTTGATTTGATCCTAAACTACCTATAATATTTTTGATTCAGCGCTTGATTTTTCAAAAAGCTACCAAAAGCACTTTTTTCATGATTTTTCAATGTAGAGCGGAAATTTTTTTTTTTTTTTTAAATAGCAAATTCTTGTAGAACATTTATTCATTGGTGGTTAAGTCAGAACATTCCGTGGACCAAAAAAGAAAGCCAAAAATTTTTTTTTAATACGGTATTCGTTAAGATTGAGCGTTGCACGTTTTTCATCTAAAAATCTCTAGAACTAGAAACTTCCAAGCTTGAAATTGCTTTTTTTACGGCTCCAATACGACCATTTTTAACGAAGATACAGCTATCCAAAAAATCGCAAAAATTTGGACTTTTTTATCCTTTAATTTTTTATATTTTACATTGCTATTGGTTTCTTATGTAAAAAGTAGCAAATAATAAGAAATCAGATTTTTTAGTCTCGGTCAAAATTTTCAATAATGAAAAATGTAATATATTTTACATTTTACTTTATTATTAATTTACATTTTACTCAAAATTTCATTTTAAAAAAAATTACTCCATTTTTTAAGATTGATGTTATAATATAATAATAATAATAATAATAATAATAATAATAATAATAATAATAATAATAATAATAATAATAATAATAATAAATATCTTTATTGTATATAAATAACATTACATTACATACAAAAGAGAGTTCACTTAAACTGTTCTACCACCAACCAGAATTACAATACATGCTATGTTAACAAACTTTGCTCCGGTAACAATTGAGTCCTAAGTTTATGTTTTAATGCTAAGGGAGTATTACATTCAATAAACAGGTTTATACAATCGTTAAAAATTTTTGCAGCCAAATACTAAAAACTACTTTCAAATTTGCTGGTTTTGTGACTGGGAATTGTTATTATTACGCACATTATGACACTGATTTCGACGTACTAACAAATTCAATAAATATGATGGTAGGTTATAACCTACTATAGCTATAGCTTTAATTATAACAAACACTAAGACAGCATATTGACAAAAAAATTGTTTATCACATTTCAGTATATTTTTATCTTCATAATGACTAGTTACAGGATCCCTAACTAAATATAATATTATAGGTATAACGAAGACAACAATTTTGCAGCTTTAGAATGAATTTTTGTGTTGCTTTTGTTGCATAAAAAAATTAAATAATGCTACAATAATTAAAATTACTAAGTATGAGGTTATTACATAGTTTCCACTTAACATCACTACACAAGAATGACTTAAAGCTGTAAATAGATCTTAATTTTATGTAAGCATTTGACATGTTTTTCAAAGTTCATATCACAGTCTATTATTACACCAAGGTTTTTAACATAGTCTTGAAATTGTATCACAAATTAAGAAATTTTAATTAATTATTCCGATGCTGACAGTTTTACTTGGATTAAGTAGAAGACCATTTTTGTCTGCTGTAAAAATACAGAACAATAGGGGACCAAGAATGCTTCCCTGAGGAACACCCCTTGACACTTTTTTTTTTGCAGAATATGCTTTATTGTAGCGGATTTGAAAAAAAAAACAAAAAACCCGGTTTTTTTTTCTAGTTTTTTTTCACATCTGAAAAAAAAACAGTACATCTCTAGTTGAGCTTGCGTACTACCTACTAAAATAAACGGCCGATAAAAAAATTAAGCCGATACAGCCGATATGTTCGCGTATCGATTAAACGGTCCTAGGCGATGTTATCTCATTCAGATTTATATTGTGAGGCTTCGCGAACAATCTCAATTTGCAATTTCGCCTCGTTGTTAATCAGAAATGAAGTTATCTTTTCTTTATTTAAAATAGCCGAACGGAAAATATTGATTTTGCCCACCGCGCCGATAACTTTTATCAACACTAGCGATGCCATCGCAGCTCAGTTAATCTTTTAGCATTGTTCTTTTGTACTTTATTGAGCAAATACAACCGCACTGATTAACAAACCCATTATTATTTCATTATTATCAACTTTATTTTTTTATGGCTAAATTATGATGATGAAAACACACACCTACTTTTTTTGCTGTGTCAGAATTTATTACAGTTAGGGTTTCCACCCTGTATACAGTAATAATGTTTGTAGATATATCGTTTAGTACACCATAACAAACTTTATAGAATAACAATAACAGTATTAAAGATTACTCTACCGAGCAAGCACTAAAAACACGCATAAAACTACAAAGCAGCAATGTTAACCATCATTAAAGTGCATTAGGTATTTTTTAATCATAATAAAAATCAAACTTTTCCTTTTTTTAAACATTGTTGCAGGAAAAGCACAAAGAGAATGCAGAATTATTTCCAGCAATGCAAAGTTTAAATCTAGAGATTTATTAAGTTTATAAAGATGTATTTCATTTTTTTACATTATTAAAATAGTATGTTATGTATCAAGTTTAATAAAGACCATTTTAGTCACGTGTTTAATTAAATGAGTTGCATACTATAATTTTTCTACGACAAATACTTATTATTGTACTATACTTGATATATAATATACTATTATAAAAATCTCCCTTAAATAAAATTCTTAATTAAAAATCGGTTTAAAGCGCACAAAATTTTAATTAAATTAAATTAAAGATATTCAGAATGTTAAGCGTGTTGAGCAGTGGAACTTAATAAAAATTTGTATTATTCCCAAGTTTACTATATAGAGGTAATAATAAGTAAAATTTAACAATACAAGAAAATTAAATTTGACAAGAATATTAAAAAAGTTTTTAGCCTCTCTTCAAACATGGTTTGTTTCATAAGCCTTTTTAAACCTAAAAATATGTTTTAATTTTTTTAAGATGTTGTTTTTTCGAATTTGCGTCTTTTAAATGTATAATATTCTCTCATTTTTATTTGTAAATTTCTTTTGACTGTTGCCATTGTGTAGCCGGTAGGCTTTAAAAACACAAATAACTGTTAAGTTAAAGTAACGTATACTTCTATATCATATTTAATAGACCGGTTGCTGGCATAAATGACAACAAAAGCACTAACACAATTGTCTTGAGATTATTTCATTTCCTCTTTTCCCTCGTTTCTTCCAGTAAATAAAGGAAATGTATTATTCTATATGTATTAGATAACATTGTAGTTATTTAATTTAATTTGTTTACGCCATTAGTTTGCTCCATGAGCTTGCAGTGCAATTTCTCATGTTTTAGGTCTTTTAAAGTTTTGTCTTGTTTTAAAATAGGCTTTACTTTTCCATTCGATTTCTTTTATTACTTATTAACAGATATAATAACATCAAAATTTTTATCGTAAAGTATTTTTTTCAACGAAAATTTTGATATAAAAAATGTTAAGTTTTGATAAACCGTTCGTTACAAAATCGAAAAAAAATTCTGCCCACTAAACACAAAAATCACAAAAAAAATTTTATGGAAGCGTTTTTGAAATATGAATTTTCAATTGTTTTTTTTTAATTTTCGGAGGTGTTTTGACGTTTTTGACTATAGCTTGAAATCAAATTCATCGATTTGGTCAAACAAGCCCTTAAATTGAAGGTATTTGAGCCTTCGAAAAGTTTATTTTACATACTTTTGATATCGGATAAGTATGTTGACGCTAGCGATTTTATTAACTTAAAAATTCGTTTTTATGGCAAAAATTTACATATTGTTCTGGGCTTACATTTTTACAAAAAAAACAAGCTAATGTTGATAATACATGAAAAAATGGCGAAGTTATGAATTTTTTAGTGGAAGACCAAAATTCAGCTTTTTGACGATTTTTATTTTATTTTTTTTTTTTTATTTTGTTATATGTTTATTTTTTAATGAAAACCTAATTAAAGTGCATAATAGGAATTTTTAAAATTTTAAACGTACTTTTTTCACCGAAAACATTATATAAAATTTAAATTTGATATGACTCCGCAAACGTGAATTCTTTTGTTTCTCGTGTTGGCATAGTGACATTTTACTGCTATTTTTTGATATTTTAACAGAGTATTTTTATCATGGTTTTATTTAGTTAATAAAAAGTGTAAAATAAGTAAAAGAAGTAGAGAGTTCGAGTGCCTAAATAACCCGGACAATCTGAGCGACGTTAGTGATGAGCACGGAGAACGTTTTCACCAGCAAATGAAGGCTATGGAGCGGCGGTATCACGGCTTCTGGGATGCAGCCATGATGGGTGATTACATTTGGTCCTTTATACGAGAAACGGAATACGAAATCAACAAAAAAGGAGCCAGATTTTTTTTAAACCTATGCTTATAACAACAAAATATCAATATCAATATTTATTGTTAAATATTCAATGGGTAAAAATTTATTTATAGGCACTTTTAAGTCCCGGCCTCGCAAAATCATTTTGTTTAACAGTACTAAGTGCACATGTATTTCTTTTGTAAGAGAACATTTGCATCTAACTAAAAAAAATATTTTGTAGCCCTATCCATGTATTAAAATATTTTTTTTTATGTTTCCGTAGACAAATGTAACGCCGGTCACATGTCCCCAGTTAACAATTTTCATGTTTGCGCTTTTGTATTTTAATATTCCTAATCGGAATTAATGTTTTATAAAAATTATATGTTTCAGAATATATTTTTAATTATTTAAATAGTTTTCATTGAATGCTATTTGCTTCTTGTAACTTTTTATAACACGTTAAGGGTAAGTCCCAGAAACTACAGGTAACACCGGTCACGGTCTGAATTCGCTTTAAAAATGACCGTTAGGGGCGCTTTTATCAGTTTCATTAATACATAGAAGTGTGCCAATGGTTGTGGTATTGTTTTTATTGCCAAGGTAAGTTTTTAACTTATTTGTGTTAAAATTAAGTAAAACATTACGAAAACCTTCCTAGCGTATGTTTTTGTCTTGTAAAACCGGTCACGGGGTGTACTTACTTAATTAGTAGAATAATTAGCATAAAAACTGCATGCCTTAGTGCCGGCAGAGAATCTTGAACATTTTTAACCTTAAAAAATATTAAATGTGTTTAGGTAGAGCCGGGAAATTTAAAAATATTACCTAATGTAGCGCCGGTCACAGTAACGCCGGTCACAAATTAACAAATCTCGTAGCGTGACCGGCGATACATGCGAGTGACCGGCGATACAATAATTGAACCGGTGAGACTATAAACAGTACAAGTCCAAAAGTTAAAATTTTGACAAAATATTTCATATAATCCGTTTTATACCTAGTTCAAAATGCATTTTTCTGTGAATATTTCAACTATTTTATAAAATATAATAATCATATTGTGTAAAATGATTTATATCTTTTCACAAAAATGCATTTTAAACTTTAAAATTGATTTTAGAAAATGAATTATCAAAATAAAACTTTTGGACTTGTACTGTTCTTAATCTCACCGATTCAATTACAATATTATGCATAATTTATTGTTCGAAATAAACTATATTAAAGTAAAATAATGTAAACTAAAAATGTACATAAATAAGGCATTATTTCTGTATTTTCAGCAAAAATAATAATCGTATGACAAATGTCGACTTTTGAAAAATATAAAGATTTAAAAGAAAGGTTAAAAAGGGATGAGGAGGAAGCATACAAAAAGCGAAATGACGAGAAAGAATTACAAAAAAAGCGGAAAATGGAAAATAAAAATAAGAAAAAAGCAGTTTCAATTAAAATAAAATTAAAAGCTATACACGAGAATGATAAAAATTCACCGGAGTTGTCTCACAATCAAAATAGCCAAAGTAATGAAGAGCTTGTTGATATAAGTTTACATCGCAGTACTTTGGAACCTAACAAAATTAATAACGAACTATTAACATTTTCCAAGGTAAGGTCTCCTACACAAAAAGAGGGTGATATTATCCAAAAAAGGAAAACTAACAAAAAGTCAGGTTTATCGACTAAGGCTTTAGAGGAGAAACGCAAAAAGGACAGAGAAAGACAAAGAAGAAGACGATTGAAGATGTCCGCGGAAGACTTGGAAAAGAAACAAGAATACGACAAAAAATACAAAGAAAGAAAAATAGCTGAAGGGACATGGAAAAAGTTGAGGTCATCCATGAGTAAAAGGGAAAGAGGCAAAGATCGAAAAATAGTGAGAGACAGAGTAAGAAAATGTAGGCAGAAACAGAAAGAAAATCAACAACTTCAAAACTTTATGGAAAATGACACACCACCCGTTAGCCCACAGCTTCCTGATGACGTACTAGAAATTGATGAAGAGAATTCGACCCCAAGATTGCACCATAATAGTGGCAGTACACACAAATTACGTGGCAGAAAAAAGAAAAATTTAAATAGATCAAAAGTATACCGGCTTTTAAAACAAACAGAAGATAAACTAAAAAAGATGACCGCTCAAAAAGAAAAATATAAAAAGAGGTATCAAAGAATGAAACAAAAAAATCCGCCATCACCAAACGCCAAAATAACGTTATTGGCCGAAGGTCGACCAGTACCGGAAGGAGTAAGAAAAAGACTTTTATTCACAGAAACTGTAACACAAAGTTTAATCCAAAAAAGAAAAGAATTTGCTAAAACGCCAAAACATTTAAATTTGTTTCATAAAATTATTGCAAGTGATATAATAAAAAAACGAAAACTTGTTAAAAAAGCAAAACCACTAATTTCATGTAGGACATTTCGAAAAACAAATGAAGGAATCTCTCGAAAATGGAACTACCAGACACTTTCTAAACAAGTAGGGCAAAATGTTGTTAAATTTTATGAAGAAGACATACATTCAAAAATGTTGCCGGGGAAGAAAGACTGTGTAACACGGAAAAAAATAAAAAAACAAAAACGCCTACTTCTACACTCAGTTAAAGATTTACACACAAAATATAACGCGACACACAGGACCAAAGTATCATACACTACTTTTCGAAATTTAAAACCTTACTGGGTTGTTCACCCTAAAATGTCTGACAGGGATACTTGCGCATGCGTAAAATGCTCAAATATTCAACTTCTAGCCAACAAAGCTTTTCAAGTGGGTCTGGTAAATGGTTCGGTTAAGGATTTAATTAAAACTAAGGTATGTGATATAAACAACAAAGATTGCATGTATCAAACTTGCCCTGAGTGTAAAAATACGTCCATTATACAAAATGTTAACGATATTAATAAAAATGATAGTATTTCGTACCACCAGTGGCAAACTGTTAAAGTTAAACGAAGCCAAAAAGATGATACACTTGTTAGAGTTTCGAGAAAAAACATTGTTGATTCCACAAAGAAGGAAGCTATAGAAACATTAGAGTTCAAGTTACTGCCTGATTATATGACCCATCAATTCAAAATTTTTTATCAGTATCAACAGCTCAAAAACGCAAAAAATAGCATAAATAATAATGAAATATTTATTCACATGGATTTCTCTGAAAATTATGAGACCAAGTATCACACAGAAATTCAGAGTATGCATTTTGGAAGTTCAAAATCCCATCTGTCGCTTCATACGGTTGTTGTTTATGTTAAAGAAAATAAAAAGTCCATACCTAAATCATATTGTACAGTGTCAGAGAATACAGAACACGGAGCTCACGCTGTCTGGGCACATCTTGCACCAATTTTTTCTGAACTTCAAGAAAAGCGTCGTTACGACACTGTTCATATGCAATCCGATGGTCCGGCGTCTCAATATAAAAATCGATTCAACATGTATTTTTTTACGCAAATTACTGACCATTTTAAAGGAATAAAGAAGGCGTCCTGGAATTTTTCTGTTAGTGGACACGGGAAGGGGGCAGCGGATGGAGTCGGTGGACTAGTGAAGAGAAGTGCAGACTCAGCAGTGAAAATGGGCGCTGACGTTATAGACGTAAAATGTTTTATGGACGCTGTTGGCTCTAGAACCCGGTCTGTTCAACTGTTTGAAATACCATTCCAGAAAGTCATCGAGATTAAAAATAAAATTCCCAATTCTGTACAAAAAATTCCAAAAATCACCAAATTACATCAAGTAACCTGGACAAAAGATAACCCAAACACTTTATTTACACGAGAACTCAGTTGCTTTGAATGTTCGTTTGATGCTGTTTGTGGGCACCACAAATTAGACAAGGGATATATTAATTTATCACCTAAAACAGAAACAAGTATCCTTTTTTGCTAAATAAAATTAAATGCAATTTTTAATTGTTAAAGTTTTTAATATTTTGGTTTTTAAAGTTTCTTCGCCATATATATACATTTTTCCTTAAGTCGAATAATTAGAAATCCAGGGATATAGGGCTATAAATGAAAATATTTTGGATTCCAGCACTCTAGAAAGTAATATGGAGCATCCCATTTTTAATCCGCAGCAGAACATTGAAGGTCTTGGACCTAAAGACTGGGTATTGGTTTTATACGAAGGCGAAACTTATCCAGGACAAATCTTGGATGTAAATATATCTAATATGGAAGTCACTGTTAATGCCATGGAGCCATTACCAAAAAATTCCACTTTGTTTAAATGGCCTTTACTTAAAGACATCCATACCTATCCAATTCAGGCTGTTCTAAGAAAAATAAACTCCCCTATTCAGGTTGATAAAAGGGGAATTAAATATAAATTTCAGGACTTACCAAATAGTTACCAATAATTCCGAGTTACCATTTATTATTTAAGTTATTATTTATGTTGAGAAGACACATTTTATTTTTTGTACTTTAAATACAATTGTACTTTAAGTATGGTTATTGAATAAAAATAACAAAAAACTGCATATCATATCAGCATATAAGAGCTTCCTATCTTCTAGTTTACATAAGCAATTGAGTGTAACACCGGTCACAATTTGTAACATCGGTCACATGTATTAAATAATTGTTTATTATTGTGAAGCATTTATTTACATTACTTTTTAGAGGAGGAATAAAATCAAACCTACTCAAGTTAATAAAAAAAGTACCATTTGCATTACTACAGTATATAGTATAAAAAATTTACTACTTAATACCTAAAGGTAGGTCTATATCTTGGAAATAAGTTAAAATTTCTCCTTTAAGTTACCATGCGAGTATAAATATTTGTCATCTAATTACGTATCGGTATTAACAGAACTTAAAATATATATATATTACAATGTATTGTTGTAATTCAATAAATTGACTGGAAAATAAACATGTGACCGGCGTTACTTTAAAAGAATTATTAGTACTAAACCTTGGCCAAAAATTTGCATACATGCTTTGATTTAGCGCGGACATTTATAAAATTGGTAAGTAGATATATGTACAAACACAAATTGGTAGGTATTTCTATAATATATTAATTTAGATTTTTTTTTCTTACCATAATGAAAGTTGCCTGTAAATAAATTTTTACCCCAATATATAATTTAATTTCAATATTTAATGTTTAAAATAAAAATCAATGTCCAATATTAAACTTTATATAACTCAATAAAATGAAAAAAACGTAAAAATTCTCGAAAAAACTGAATTTTGGTCTTTCACTGAAAAATGCATAACTTTGCCATTTATCCATGGATTTTTATCAACAGCAGCCTATTTTTTCCAAACTGGACGTATCTTTTCGATTTCTATCTTTCCCAGAAAGATATGTAAATTTTTAACCTAGATTTTTGTAAAAAAAAGTACTTTTTCAACTTCATAAAATCGCCAGTATCGAACTACTGAGCCGATACCAAAACTATACAAAACTGTAAACTAGTGTAAAAATCAATTTTTTGCAAAAATATTTTAGGAAAGTTGTTTTTACCCCAAAACCGATTGAAAACGTATGAAAAATGAGACCATCCATTTTTAAGTGGCACACTTGAGAAATTTTGAGCCTATTACCTTTATAAAACTTTCGGTAAAATATTTTACTTTGTAATTACAAACCCTGGTTTTCTACAAAAAATTATGTTTAATGTAACAAACTACAAACTCATGTTCAAATCTGATCTATAACAGTGTAAAGTGTATATACTTATTAAAGATTTAACCTACAATTCGCCGTTAAATTTTCAGTGGCCGATATAAATATCCATGACATCTTAAAAAGAATACTCAACTCCAAAGTACGATTCCAAACAGAATTTGGTGCATTATTTTTAATGCTACTTTATTACAGACATTGCTGCTGCTGTATTTCGTGCCCGACCCAGGGGGAACTGGTTCACTGCAAGACTTTAATAATGTCAATGTAATACCAGGAACGCTCTTTGACGCCAATTCAAGTAACAATTCTGCATGAACTGCGCCCCCTGTAACACTCGAGACGTCTCCACACACGCTACTAATTAAGGATTTATTAAAATCCCTTGCAGAAAGCAGACTACGTGTGTAGCTCTAATGAAAATTTCAATTGCACATGTCTGGGTACATTTAAATAATCCACAGTAAAAAAATTTTGTTAATTTTAAACAAATATTAACCCGATTTTATATTTAACCATTTGCATAATATAGTCAAGAAAAGAGTTGAAATCTGTTGTTAAAAATATTTCAAAAATAAATGTACAATATTTAAAATAATTCGTATAAATATACACTGAAAAAAATAAGCTGTTGAAACAACAAAAAAAATATGAATTCAACTCTTTATGCACTTTAAATACAAGCAATGGTTTTTGCACGTTTACTTAACCATCTAAAAATGTCAAATTGTATTGTTTAATTGAACAACAAATAACAGTCAAATGAACAAAATTAGGATATTTGTTCCAATCTGCTAATTTTGTTAATTTAACATTCTTAGATTGTTAAGGCAACTTTATGAATGCAAATTTAACATTTTAAATTTTAAAATAACATTTACAATTTGTTAAATGAACAAATTTAATGTTGTGGATTAAACAGCAACTAAACGTTAATCTAATAGTTTTTTTAGGTAATCCCAACAATTTTAGTATTTGATTTAACCAATTCCAGCTATTAAATCAAAATAGGATAAAAACTTTAATTCAAACAATTAGTTCATGTAAGATCAATATTTTAAATTGTCAAATGAACAAATAAACTTTGACAAACTCTGACTATTGCTTTGACACCAAAATATAGATTAATCCAATAGGTTTTTTGTTGAAACAACATTTTCAAAAATGACATTTAGGCAAATGTTAACTCAACGAATATATTTTTTTCGGTGTAGTATAACTTTGAGTAAGAATATAAATTTTACAATATTGGACAATTTGTTCGAGTGAAGCACCTAAGATAACCAATGAAATGATTTCCCGATTGAAATAAGACGCCGGCCAGTCGCTCAACTGCAATCTGCATCATCAGTTTGCAGTTTTAGTTAGTGTTAGGAAGTGTATCATTGTGAGGTTAGTACCACATTTCTGGTGAGTAATTATTGAATATTATTTTTACGAATGGGTAGGTAGGTGTTTGCAAAATTTTTCAGGGACTGGGATAAATCAATAATTATGACCTGGTGATCAAATGAGGATAAAAAGTGTTTCTATGTTCCTACTGTGCTACATTATTGATTAGTTTAATATTTACTTTAGTTTGTAATTTATGTATATTAACTTAATTCTATCCTTACAAAATTTTTCTTTTGGTCGCTGAATTCATATTTAATCTATCGACATTTATACTTGGAGTGGAGACGCACTTCATGTTGAATTATTCAATATTATTAGAATAAGCTATACGAATTTTATTTTTTAGTTTGTAGTTTATGTTTTGTTATGTTTATTTTATGTTGACAGTGTAAGTTTATATTAAGTTTATGTATTCTATTTTTCATATTTTTTGTATAAGTCGCTGAATACATAGGTATCTAAATTAATAATTTAGTTTCATTTTCCTTTTTATTACCCTCGCATCCCAAAAATTATTAAATTTTTTTAATAAAATAGAGAAATTATTATTAAACCATGTTGTGTTATTATGTGCCACAATTTGTGCAATTTCACCACAAAATATTATATTAAAAAAGTCTATAAAATACATTTACTTACACAAAATATATAAGCCGCGATTAAATTAAAATATGAATGTCAAATAAATTATGTAAGTTTTTTAATATAATATAAGATTACTACAATTATTTGCAACTTATTTACCACAAATTGTTCCTGTCACCTTTTTAGCACCAATTTGTTAAACAAATTCATACAATTATAAAACCAAATCCAATAAATTTTCCTCTGTGTATAAAGTACAAACTCATGTTAACAAATTTAGTTATCATTAGATTACAAAAGTTATCTTGAAAAAAGTCACCATAAAAATTAAAATCGAATACTGAAACCAAAAAAAAAAATAAGATAAAACGGTAGGTAACTTTTTTATCGAAATAAGCGTGTCAAAAAGCGCTGAGTATAAATTTTAACGTTTTCCACTGCATATAACGTGAAACGAATTCGGCAATAGAGACAAGTGTTATAGATACTGTCATGTTTCTTCGAGAACCTATTTAACTTACATAAAGTTTTGTAGTTAAAGTTCGTGCCGCCGACACGAAGCATTGTAACTGAAACGTGGTAATTATTGGTTGCCTTTGTAGCAGGAAAATAAGCATCTGTCGAAAACCCAACAAAAATTAACAACTCTTTTACATCTCGGAAACATCCTGGATCCTAAGCAAAGCGTAAGGAAATTAAAAGGATTCATTTCCCTGACGTAATATTTCATCATTCACAATTCATTTTATTTTTGTTGAAGAAAATGAGACCCCTTTAGTATGAACATTGTCAACAAAAAAATATTTTTGCTCTCTCTGAAGTTTTAAATCATTATCCAATTTAATAGTCATTTCAGGGAAAACAATCTTCTTTTAAATGAAGTCAAGATTACCTTTTATAACTACGTAGGTACACTGTTTTAGATTAAAGTTTAAACAGTTTTAGTTAAAAATAGGAAGAATAGAAAAATAAACTAAAATTGATCTTTAAGTAAATAGAGTTTAAATTTAAAAACATTAATTTTATTTTAATACTCTAAAGAAGTATCGCTAGTAGCGCCACCACTCGGCTGTTATCATCGTAAAAAAAGTAGAACTTTTAATAATCAGCTGTCAAACGCGTATTTTTGAGAATAAAGCCGGAAAATGTTAAAAAATATCGAAAAAAAAACCGTGGCTCGATTTGTTGTGTTGTTGGGTGTATTTCGAGAGGAAATCCTGGGTTGAGTTTTTACCGGTTTTCCAATAAACAGTGTTAATCTGGATGAAAGGCATACAGTCTCTGTAAATATAAATTGTACCTATTAGATACAATAAATACACATTTTAGAAGTGATTAACGTAAAAAGTGTAAACATTTCAATTCAGTAATAATCGTCAAATAAATAAGTCGTCTAACAATTTTGGAACAAATTTTGCTGCCACGCGGTTCATACCCAAAACATTTGAAAAAATTTCATGGGATGAGCCAATCGATATACCAACTCTGATGGTTTATAACCATTTCTTCAACTTTTTCCATGTTTTTATCGGTTGTTAATGTGCTTGTGCGTTCGGGGCGTTCGTCATCTTCAACTTCTTCACGGCCATCTTGGAAACTCTTATACGACTTGTAAACTCTTGTTTTACTTATAGCAGACTCACTATTGGCCTTTGTTAACATTTCACAGAATTTATTTCATTTTTTAAGCAAAATTGGATACAAATTCTCTTTGATCCATTTCTTTTAACGAACGAAAATCGCCGAGCTTATAAAACACGTCTAACCTTAGCGGCTGCCACAGACAAAGTAAACAATGAAAACAGCTAAAGTTTTTATCCTACTTCGGGGGCATGTATACCAAAATAATAAAGAAAATTTTATGACAACCGGACCCTCCGAACCCGCGAAATTTAACAATTCCCGTTAAATTCACGCAATGCATTCGAAGTCCACCAGAAGGATATTTCTTTAGCGTATAACAAGTATAATTTTTTTCAACGTCTTTATTGCCCGTTAAGGATTCCATTTTCGCATACATTCCTGGTGAAATATTGCAATTTATATATTTTTTCCATTAAGGTGCACAATAAATTTAAGTTATGGTTTGGTGCGGAAGGCCCTTTGTCACACAATGTCAGAAACACGGATATAACTAAAAAAGCAGCTTCTCTCTTAAAAACCTAGTCGAGTGACTTTTTGCTAACCAATCGGCGCCCGCCGTTGTAACAAGTTTTTCGGCTTGGTCCATGTAGAGTTTTGTTAAAGCCTTGGGGTTCCGATTTACCCTTTAAATTGTCGATTTATTATTGCTTGTCTTCGCTATCCTTTAATTAAACAGCCGGATAAATTCGGGCCCGATCAAATAAACAAATCAGCGGAATGGGGGATAAATAACTGCACGTAGTGAAGAGTGCGGCATATAATGTCCTCTAGGAAATCGAGACACGATATAGGCGGATCTGCAGCAAATATTTCTTGAGCTGTGTTCAGCAAGATTCATGGGAGGCTGCGCTCACGCCATGGCTAAATATACTCGGCTATTAGCGGGATTATATTTTGACTTATAGTGCAAGCAAGTTTTTGTGATATGCGAAGAGTATTGGAAAGACGTTTAATTTTTATTAAAAGAAAGTTATGGGCAATTTAAAGTTAGGAAAAGATTTAGCAAGTCAAAATAAGACGAAAACCTAAATAAACTATAATATTTGATGCAATTTTTTAATTACTCAGTTCGTCAACTTTTTAAACTTCGATAAAATAAACCGTTTCCGAGATATTCAAGATTAATAATAACAATAATTGATATATCGCATTAAAGGATTAAAAGGTATGATATATCATATCATATATGATAACAACTTTTATTTTTTAATTGAAAAACAAAAAAGGCATTTCATGCTCTCTAAAAATGAATTAGTCAAAAATGACAACAGTTATTATTACAGTTATTAGTGGCTGCTTTTTCACTTATAGCATGGTATCCGCGATATAATAGCCAATTCTTATGTAAAATTGTCCCCTGAATCCCTGAAAAATTATAAATAGATATAGTCAATTCCATATTATATGGAAAATTTACTATATCTCAAATACTGTTTTACTTTTATAAGTTTTAACATTTTCGAATTATGCGGATAATTTTACTTACATTTTTAAGAAGATGGGGCACCACCTTATTACGTATGTAGTAGCTGGATCAGAATTATCAAGAACAGTGAATTGGTACAACAGGGTAGAATGGTCCCTAGATTTCCAGATCTAACACCATTAGACTTTTTTATGGGATCACTTAAAATCTGTTGTCTTTGAAACTCAGTCTCAGATCTGCGATAACAAATAATTTAAGAATTTAAGAAATGTTCTAAGGGAATTTTAGAATAGACTGTACTATTGCTTAAAAAATATTGGGCATTTAATGTAAAAACCTAAAAATAAGGTGTTTCGATTATTGATGAACAATTTGTTTTATCTATTTTGCGTTCATAATGACTTCAGTAACACCGCTTTCGGTGCAGTAGTGAGATACTTTATCCCACCCAAAATTTTGATTTTATAGGTTAGCTATACTTTAAACAGAAATATTTTGCATATTGGTTATAATATTTTTATGATTTTTCTAGTACTTACGGGACTTTTCTGGCAATAAATTTTGTTTAACGCCAAAGAAAATCCTTTTTTTCTTCTTTAAGTAAATAAGTAAATTAAGGACGGCATGGCGAATCGATTTTGACATTAACTGTCAAAGCAATGACGGTGTACCAACTATATAAAGTAAAATTCGACCAAACTAAATTTAAGGTATAGAATTCATTTTTTTTATAGAATTTTTGTCGCACGCGGACAAAATGTTAGTTCTTTAGTATAGTTCTTTAATATACTACATTTATGCTTTTTTATTTTATTATACTTTTGTTATTATTATTATTATTTTGTATTCCCCAGTTTTTTTAATAATTAATAATGTGTTTACGACAACAAAATGCTTTAGTTAGATATTTAATGGTTTTTTTGATATTTATACAAAATATTTTGAGAATTTTTCAAAAATTAAACCCCCCACATATCCTAGAAACGGTTTTTAGATTTTTTTTTATATTTTAGGTCCTGACTTTTATACCATTGCCGTTTTTAAATAGACACTGGTTTTAAAACTATTTTCAAAAAAATCCATTTTTAATTTTTGCTTATCTGTTAATAAAACGTAGAACGTGATATTTGAATTACACCGTGAATTGGACGCTAGAGACTACTAATAAATTTAATTTTTTTTCCTTAATTAGTTAGTTTTCTTAAAAAAAAAGTGACAATGCGTTAGAGTTTTATATTACTCACTCGCTCAACATTGGCTCGCTCGGGATAATTTTGAATAAAATATTCAAGGCATGGTTCAAAGTTGCTCACTTGAATGCGCTTCAGTGTTCACTTTGCCGGCCTGTCCCCGTGGCGACAGAGAACAAACTAAGTTTTCAATTTGGCCCTTCTCGGCGCGGGGGTAAACTTCATCATAAATGTAACTAAACTCTCCTTCCTTCCTTTCTGCATGCCCTTGCCTGTATAGGTAAGTAAAATCGCAGGAAATCTAAAAAAAAGTATTGCTTCTCAGTCTTTTAAAGTCTGCGTTCTCTTGCACTGCCCTACCCTAATATTTATTTATGGAAAAATCATTAAAGTCAAATAATGTCAAGATTTCCAACAGTGTTTGGACTCGTCGTTGTCGATAAAATTGCTGCATTTGACAGCTCAAATGGGTTGTTTTTAAAAGGCACCATTTGAGATATTTTTCCAGTTAAAGATCAATTTAAAGAAAAGGCGTAAAAAATACGGTCCCGACTTTTATTTATTAATTTTAGCAATGAATTTTATTTTTGTTTTCATTATTTTTTACCCTTCGGTATATACAGGATGTATAATCTGCGCACCCCAAGAAATCCCAGAAAATTGTAAACAAAAAAACCTTCGTTATTTGAAGAGATATTTTTTTAAATGGCAAGTATCATTCTTGATCATCATGACAACAAACAACAATATTAAAACGTGTTAAAATGAATTCGGTACTTTTACTTAGAGGTTATTTATTTTACGTCAGACTTGAGAAAAGCATATATAGCAAATAGTTATTTTCCTAACAAGTGCGCAAAGTTACATTTTTCCGCACGCTACTGCAATTGCACGGGCAAGCAGTAAGTGCGCAAGAAATTTTTTTAAACCCAACTTAAAAAAACTGACGTCGCAGTTCACAACCTATACTTAAAACTAAGTAAAAAACTTACGACTGTGGTGGAAGGAATCCTCTACTTTGTCAATGAAATATATTTTATTGTAAAAATGACGTTTATTTTAAATAAACCTCATTTTTGTCTAATTAATATTTCATTGTTCAGCAAAAACCACGTGAAGGTCAACAATATCGGTACAATTTCTCACCGTAATATCCATAATCACTAAATTCATATAAAACACCAAGTTAAATTAACTAAACCCACAGAATAAACCACTTACAAAAGAATCATAAAATAGACAAACTCATAGAAAAAGAATAAACAAAATATTGCGTAAATAACTACAGGTTTGTTCTTTAAATAGTTGAGAATTTTATAACCAAAACAAACATAAAGAAGGAATCTTTATTTATTTTATTGGTTACTGTGATGACTACAAGATGGCGATAGTGTTAAAATATGTTTATTTTAGAATAGAAATATAATTTCGATTAAATCGATTTATTATAAGAAAAATAATACCATTTATTATTGAATTTTGAAAAACGTGTGAAGTATAATTTATCTAAAATTCCGCAACAGTGTTGCCACAACACCTGCTTATTTCCTTGGATGTAGGCGTGCCTGCCTCGCGTATGCTAATACGAGAGAAGGAGACAACTATGATATCGCATTGTAATAGAACGAGACAACAAGGCTAACGCCAATCGTGAGCCTAAATTAGTTTAGGCATGCTTCTGAGCCAATCATCTAGCTATAAATATTAGTTTAAATTACGGTCGTTTCAAATTCAAATAATTTAAATGTTGCTGGGTATTCCACGTATAAAATCAATTTTATTGACTATTTCACAATTCATGTAATCCAAATATTAAAAATTTATAGTATATTATAGAAAGTAAAATAATTAAATTATACTTAATTTTTTAATTCTCTATGATGAGGCACTGCCTCACCTGCCTCCCCTGACGGGCCGCCACTGATGATTATTAAATTAATTGTAAAATAGGTTGATTCATTCAACGGGTGACTTGCACTATTTAATAAGGTGTTAAGTTTTAGATATGCAGCTATTTGTGCAGGCATTTAACCAAATGTATTAATTTCTACCCATTGGGTAGTGCATGCTCTTCTTTTATAATTGACAAAAAACCGCTTGTGTGGGGTATTTGGTTTTCACAAATTTGAATATTTTCGAAACAGTAATGACCATTACTGATTTTATCAGATATCAAAAATATTCTTGATGTGTCATTTTTACTGTCCGAAATTTTCACGATTACCAAATTTTCTTTATCTTCTATATCATCAATCATTATCTTTGAGAGCTCTTAATGTTGATTTTGTCTAAAATCAACATACTTACGTACATCTTAAATGCAAATGCGTGCGGAAAAGTGCAACTTTGCGCACGCAAATGGGTGCGGATACGTGTTACTTTGCTCACGCTAGTAGAAAAAATATTTTTACATTGTAAATTGAAAATTTTTATAAACTACACCTTGTATATTTTTTTAGTGTAAGTAAAACTTAACAACCCTCTGGTCTTTGTCAATTTATTTTCCATCCCCCAAAATTCCTTTCGGCTTGTGGCTGAGCGGTTTCCACCCACCCTAAATTTATTTTGGGTTTGGTCATTAAATTCCAATATCCCACACAGTTTTGGAACTTTTTTGGCGCTCCTTATTGCTTCGAATATTTTACTGCTTGTTATTTAAATGTCTTTTTTCGATATGTGTGGTTTACCAAAAATAAAAGGTCCAGGAAGAGTAAAAGTAATTACTAAATAAATTCCAATTTTTTTAAGATTATCTCAATACCTTAATTTTGTCTATATACAAATATGTTTCCACGTCACCCGGGAGGTATTATTCTGCGACACGTTGACCTTTTTTAAACTATTAAACATTAAAAAACAAATTAAAGAAAATATCAAAGCAATCTGAACTCAAATTGGGAAACTCAAAAACAAAAATTTGATTTTTAAAACTTAAAATACAGGGTGTTATGTAAATAATGTAATATATTAAAATACTGAATACCTTTTGACATAAGGTGTAACGGAAAAATATTTCAACAAATGGTATGATTATCACACAGAAAAAACTCTAGCATAGCATGAATGGGTGAGCCATTAAACCAATGGGATCTTGTAATCCGTATTCCTGAATAACAGTTCCTATAATACCAATAGGTAGTTAGCATATGGTTTATAATCGTTTACTGTTTTTTAATTAACAACAAAAGTTATCGCTCCTAAATCTATTGATATTCATATTGATATTTATTTGTTAGAATGTGGGAATGTTATTGCATTAAATACTAATTTGATTTATTTAATAACGTTACTATTGTATGTATACATTTAACGCAATAAATTCTTTGACATTTAGGCAAAATATTTTCCTATTTTGGTTTAATAGTAATTAATTGAGCAAATAACAATTTAGATTGCTTCAATTTTAATGCATTCAATGAAAGCGCTGTTCTTGGTACGTTAGATTTTTTTCTGTGCATCAATGTCGTGCTAAATTAAATAAGTGAATCTGATTGGTTCAAATCATTTAACAGCAATAAAAATAACATAAACAATAATCCATCATAGCCCTCAATATGTAATCATTCTGTACTTTAAGATTACAATACAAATATTGTTTGTTTTATTTTATATTAATTATTATATATGCGTTATTTTGTTAATTATTTATATATATTTAATGTTTATGTAGCTTAATTTTTCCTATTTTATATTACTTTTTCAAACACCTTTAAATAGCATTTTTATCAAAGCCATCTTGATAAAAAATACCATGAAAATAATTCCATATTCTATACAATTTGTGGTATTTTAAACCGTTCTATCTTTCTAGCTAGGCAAATACACATTTTTTACAGTTTTTAGTTTATATTAAAGAGAACATTCTGTTAAACTTTGAAGAATTTTCGTTCAGTCCCTCCGGACGAAAAAATGCATTTTTTTCGCCAAAGATGGTATTCACTGCAATTTGGATACTTTTTTATAATTTCGCATTTTATATTTTAATCAATATTTATAATTACTTTAAATACAAATTTACACCAAATCATACCCTGACGAGCCGCCTCTGCTCTATTGAATGTAAATTATAAATAAGGATGTAAAGTGTAAAGTTAAAAAATTTCAATCTAAAATGTATTTTTCCAGAAAGAGATATCTAAACACCTTTAATTAACATAATTTTATTAAAACAGGGCGCTGGCGAATCAAACGACGTCTTCCACTTTATTAAAAATCGTGGATGAGACCTAAGAGGGGCTTTCGGCGGGGTCGGTCGGGTTGATCGCGCGGTACGTTCCGCAATTTCCTGAGAGACTTGAAAGCCAAAGTGCTTTTACTTCCTGTTACGGTCAAAGAAATTACAAAGAGCTCCTTGATAAAATGTATAGGCTTATGACAAAACTCGATGTCAGCCTACCCGAGAAAAAGTTCCCAAAATACGGACAAAGGAATTGACAACATAAGGACATTATACGAGATAACCCGAAATACCTTTTTTAGTATTTTTGTTGGTAATGAAATTTCCATAGGAAACGATCTTTATTGAAAGCAATAAACCAATCAAAACACGGCATCGAATGTCACGTTTTGTGTAATTGAATTTAAATAACACAATTTAAAAAGAATGTGTTCGACACTAAGCATTTCATTCCGTTTGCGTGAAAAGGGCGAGAGACAGAGCTTTTCCTCGGTAACGACCTTGTACAACTCGGCCATAAATATGCATATAAATTGGAAGCAATTACATCTAGACCGGTTAAAATTGAAAGTAAATAAGAAGAGATTCGTAATTAAATACTGAGCACTTAAGTGCGCGGAATTAAGTCTCTCGACGTTTTACTTGAAACAGACAGCCCGACATAGATTAAAATGGAAATTCTTTAGTCCTTAGTGAAATATGATGCCCCTTATTTGACACTAAGCGCCATCTGTAGAGAGGCATCGAGTGAAATACGTGTCGGAATACAAATACCAATTTGACTGGTAAATGTGTCACTTGGAATCATCTGCATAAAGGACCGGAGGAAATGCACAAATTCGGTGTGCTGATTAAATTAGAAATTAGACATTTAAAAACTTTAACACTTTAACAACAAGCTTCATTCTCCTTTTTCTACCAAGTTTTGTGATTCGTTTATACATGGTCTTCCAGAACTAAGAGAAAGAGAGACAGGGATAATTTCAAAAGAAATATAACAGTATAAAATTTGTGTAAAAAATATTTTTTGATTAATTTCATCTGAAATAAATGTATATCCTTGGCATAAAAACAGAAGCGAATTTGCTTTCGGCACGCGCCTAAAGAGCGGCATGCTTTGAGCGCGCCACGCCTTTGTATTTTATCGGCTTTACACCGCGTAATTACAAATAAGCCGCATTATTATAAAATAATAAAAACAGTAGAATATTTGCTACTCTACCGTACTCATAATTGTTTACTATTTATTTGATTTATTTTTGGTAGAAATAAACCTTTTGGTAACAATTTTTTAAGTAATTTTGCGCTAGAATATCGTTTATTTCACAAACATGTACATTTTCCAATAAACGCGACTTAAAAATAATAAAACTTGCAATTTTTTGTGTAAAACAAAACGGCAGCAAGTTTTGTCGAAATGATGTACAAAATACACCGGCGCACAGTGTTTCAATTCTCGAAATTTTCGGCAAAATATCAAGGAGTAGTCGGATTCTAAATGGCGAACATATTTGTCAAAAACTTGACGGAATAAATTGAAAATCGCCATACAGGGGTTTTGGGGTCGCTGATAACGAATCTGGAATCAGAATTCCAAAATTCAAAATGGTAGATCCAAAATGGCGGACATATTTGTCAAAAAATTGACGGAATAAATTGAAAATCACCATACAGGGGTTTTTGTGGTCGCTGATAATAATTCCAAAATTCAAAATGGTAGACCTCAAATGGCGGACATTTTTATAAAAAAATTGTCGAAATTAATTAAAAACCCGTAAATTTCAAAATTTATTTATAAAATTTAAATATATAACAGATTTTATACTAAGTATTTTAAATTTTTATTATTTCTTTTACTTAATATTTTAGCAACGATTTCTTAATTCGCTAAAAAAATTGTCAACACAAATAACCACATTTCAAATTTGACATTAATACACTACAACGCGCATGCGGAGTTGTTTTAACGCAAGAGGTGGGTTAAATATGTAAAATCGGTGTTAATATATTTATTTATAATTATAATTATATTTACGCAAGTGAAAGTCTAGACACCGCTGTTATAATAAACGTTTTGAGTTAAATCCGAGTGAATCGAGTAAAAGTCATGAACGCAACCCAGAAATAAAAAAGTCTTATATTTTGTAAAGCAAAAACACAGATACGCGCGCGACATAGGCTTAAAATCGCGAGTTTTTTTACCACAACCGTGCCTTAGCGCCCAAGAACATGTAGTTTTAAAGAGCCGGGGGCGAGTTGGGGCAGATAATTTATTGATAGCTTGATAGACAAAACTCTAAGCTATTCGACGGATCTTGAACTGATGCCTTACAATTCATTACAATTTTTGTAGCTCCATTGTTCTAAAAGCTCGATTCAAAGTTTGCAATTTTAACAGACCGATCTTGTCGGTTACGATAACCCGTTGTACAAGCAAAATCTACGAAAAACAAATACATATCTGAATTTTATATACCTTGAATATCACCCTTCATCAAACCGCATAACAATCGGTCACACCAAAACAAGTTATTCACTTTTAAACAATAAACAATTTTCCGCAGCGATCGCGTGTAAAGTACCTTCAACTGAAAGCGTCAAGTTTAAACTGATGTACCAGACAAAATATACGTATTTTTTCAATACAGGATGGAAACTGGTATTAACTACATATATAACTAAAAATTTACCTGAAAATTTTTTCAATTTTTGAGGTTTTGGCGATATTTTCCAGAATTGAAACACTGTGCGGCGTGTAGTTAAAGATTTTAATTTGACAATAAAAAAGCATATTTTCTATTACCTTACTAGAAAACTTAATTTTCCACCCCCGAGCGAGGGAGGAAAATGCCTCTTTTTTTTTTTAAATTTATATTGGCAAGAGTTTTTGTACCTTGTCTAGCTTTATTTGATTTTGTAGGAAAAAGATTTACTCCGCGCTTGTCCAACCATTCTTTTAACATTCTTTTAATAAACTATATTCATATTCACTATTTTAGATTTTTAAGGAAGGAAATTAATTGCAACTATTAAATTTATGATAAACATTATGACAGCTTATAAAAACTGTTGTGTTGGTATTACCAAAAATACCATAGCAACAAAGCGTTGTCAACATAACGTCGGCGACGCAAAACCTACTTAATATTTTGTCATAATTTTATAGCCCCATACCGGGTAAGTAAAAGGAACCGGAACGCTTAAAATGTCTTAAACCCGTTAAAAGGTAATAGAAAAAACTATATACATACCTCAGGAGGAAAATGCATTTCCTCCCTTGAATATTTAATGCCCTTCGCTTCGCGTCGGGCATCAAACTATTCGCGGGAGGAAATGCAATATTTTCCTCCCATGGTATGTGGATAGCTATTTTTTCTAATTTCTAAAATTAAGTATTTTTGAGAGAGAAAAAAATTAAAAAAAGTATTTCTATCGGAACGTTACATTTTTCACAATTCACTCTCCATTCTCGTCAAATATCAGAACGCCACCAAAGAAGTTTCACTTCAAAAACCCCTTTTTCTCTGTGGAAAGTGGAAAAATTTAGAAACCAATAACGATTTAAGATTTATATTTAAAAAGCAAGATACATTTAAACTGTTGGAAAAACCTAACCAAACTATTTTTGTTTCAGATTAATCCTGCAAGATCTTAATACTGACTCATCGGCTATGGAAACGGAGGATGAAGAATCCGATAAAGAGAACGGATGAATATCGGGGAAGGAAGAACACCCATCAAGCAACGATGCCTCTAGTGAACCTCCACTTTATCGTGCTACTAGGCTTCTGCACCCAGATGGCTCTAGGCGACTGCCCTCGCCTATGCGACTGCAAGTGGAAAAACGGGAAGGAATCCGTAATCTGTCTCAACGCCAATTTGTTTGTTATACCGTTGCATCTGGACTCTGGTATACAAGTTTTGGATTTAACCGGTAACAATTTGTCTGTTATTAAACACGAAGAGTTTAGCAAGGCGGGTTTGATCAATCTACAGAAAATCTACATCGCCAAATGTAGATTAAAAACTATAGAACGATATGCTTTCAAGGACCTGATAAACTTGGTTGAGTTGGATTTGAGTTACAACGCTCTAACCCAAGTCCCATCACACACCTTTGACAGTATACCGGAGTTAAGAGACCTAAAATTGAACGGCAATCCCATACAAAAAATACAAAACAACGCCTTCATCAACATACCCCAGCTAAATAGGCTCGAGCTAACAGACTGCAGGATATCTCAGGTTGAGCCTAAAGGTTTCTGCGGCGTAGAAAGATCCCTAGAGTACCTAAAGTTAGACAAAAACCGACTGAACACCGTAACTCCTTTAGCTATAACTATTTTAAACAACCTCCATGGTATTGAGTTGGCGTCAAATCCGTGGAACTGCTCATGTCAGCTAAGGCCTTTAAGAGAGTGGATGTTGCGGCAGAATGTACCGTTCGGTATTCCGCCGTCTTGCCTAACACCTAAAAGACTTTACCAAAAAACCTGGGACAAATTGGAGCTGGACGAGTATGCTTGTGTGCCCGAAATAGTGGCGTTGAAGGATAAAACTCAGGGTGTTGAGGGGAAGAATATTACGATGCAATGTCGGATAGCCGGGGTGCCCGAACCGAACGTGCGGTGGTTGTTGCGGAATAAAGTTATAGCTAACCTGTCAGGTTCTCATGCTGTGGGGAATAAGAAACTTTACGTGGTGCACCTGGAGACAAACTTAAGTGACTTGACTATATTCAGTGCGGAGCTCACGGACGCTGGTACATACACTTGTGCTGCGGAAAATAAAGCCGGTAAAGCGGAAGCGAGTGTGACCTTGGCGATGTCGAAAAAACCCGTGGAAAAATCGAGCGGCAACTTCATGTTGGCCAGTGTTGTAACCGGGGTGGTGTTCGCGATACTCTCCAGTGTTGTAGCCGGTATGGTGGTGTTGTTCCGCAAAAAACATCAGTTGTTGTGGCGAACTAGAGATAACTGTCGCGACGATAACTACGAGAAGATCGAGATGAAAGTGACTCCGGGTGCGAACGGCGATGTTCCTTTGCTTGTTGCCAACAAGAAAAACGGCGAGTACAGGGTCGTGCCTTGCGGCGAAACCGATCAAGAGCAAGAGGAAGACGACGAACCAGTGATTGTGGACCGTAAAGCCAAGCTTTGGAACCCCGTCGAGGAAAAACGTTGGGCATCGCCTGAGCACCTGTTGGATCCTGAGGATCTACACATACCCAGGAGAACCTTGCAAGAGTCTAGGTACAGTAAATTTAGTTTATTATTAAGTTGTATATCTTATGGCGACTTGCACTGATCAGTTAAATAAACTGACTGAAGTTAAAAGGTAACAGGAGATTAGTGTCCAAAATCTTGCACCGTGATTTTTTTACTATGGTTTAAAATTTAACTGGTGATCTAGGGAATTTGACTAAAAAATGGAAAAGATTGGTGCTAATAACTAACTTCACACTTATTTGTGACGCAAATATGTTTTGACATTAAGAGTTCGATTCTTTATAATCTATGGTTCGATTCTTTATCATCTGTGGTTCGAAGCTATTTCATGTACGACCGATTCAGTTGATGGTAAGAGGGAATAATAAATTTTTCAGAAAATGAAAAAAATCATTTAATTAATCTTGTGGATACAAGAGACAGATAGGGCTAAAACAATTAGAGCAGGAAATTAACAATAAAAAGGATGTAAAAGAAATGACTCTTTCGGATTTAAAAATTTTAGAAGAAAAAAAAAATTTAATATATGTATTATAATAATAAACAATTTTAATTTAAAATAAGTATAAATTAAATAAAACATTCAAATTAAATTTTATAAATTCGCAAAATAATCTTGTATTAATTGAATTTGAAACATAATGCGATCTTGTGGATGAGTAATAACAGGGTACTCCAGTTCATGGCATTAATATCATCAGGCAATGGCGGCTCTGGTTTATTCATATCTCTAGCAATACTATGTAGAACAGCTGCAGCTGGAATAATGGACAAAACTGTATCTAGTTTTAATCTTAAGCCATATGCCAAAACTGGAAACCTTCTTTTCCAAATTCCAAATACTCCTTCTATTATATTTCTGGTTCTTAGTAGTGACTCATTATATAGTTGCTGACTATAGTTATTGGATTTACTAAAGATGTCAATAAATAATATCTTTGAAAAAAAAAGATCTTGAATACCGATGACTAGTACTTTTGAGGTTATAAATCGTTAACGGTGGATTAAAGTAATTTAAACAACCGAAATTGGTTTAGAGGTATTTAAACAAGGATTAATTTACGGTGCAAGCCAGTTAAATAAACCTGTGTTAAAAATAAAACCACTGTTAAACTTACGGTGCAAGTGGCCATTAGAAAGTAAAAGTACTGTTTAGGCTTCAAACAGGATCTAGGCACATAAGACTCAACAAGTTCATAACTATATACTACTTACACACTGGTAAAGACATACTTATGTTATTAGTACTGTATTTTTGTTCTAGAGACAAGAAAATTGTAGTTTCAACATCTGGTACATATAACCCTTATCTTCCATCGACCTCTACGTCAAATGCACCAAACCTTAACCTGCTTCCATTGGACACTAAGAATCCACGAAAACTTCCAACTATTAGTAATAACTTACCGACAGTTTACGCCACCACAAACAATGGTGAGTTGAGTTGTTTGAACGAAGATAAATCGTATCCTGATGTTATAGGGAATTCTTCCACTGTCGGGAAAGCTAACAGTGAAGGGGGGAGTGTTACGGACATAACGCAGTTGTTTTGCACTTTGCCGAGGAAAAAAGCTTTGGTTAACAGTGCAAGGTATAAGAGTACTGATAGTCAATCTCCCCTCTTGGCGGAAAGTAGATATAATAGTAGCGGTGGTGAAAGCAGCTGCGGTAGTCAGGAAAATAATTATAGGAAACTTCCGGATATACCTCGGATGTCGAATTTAAACTACAACAGGGTAAACAAAATATCGAACAGTTATCTGAACCTCACTCGCGAGGATAACTCCACGCCCCTACTGGACGTGAGTGGTTTGGAGAAGAGGATCATGTTCAAACGGGATCACACCTCCAACAACAAACTGACCCCCAACGCGAACTCCTACGATCACCACGCCGCACAACTGGAGAAGTTCCTCGAAGAGTACCGCCAGCTGCACAAAGAGCTGACCAAGATGAAGCAAACCTGCGATAACCTGCGCGTGGAGAAGACGGCGGAAAAAAATCTGCCCGCAGGTTCGAATGACAACGGCAAGGGGGAGGGGGTGAGCGCGCTGTCTCCCAACTCGAATCAGTTGGAGGGTTCTGTGGACTTCAGGAATTTCGAGAACGAGCTGACAAAATATTTGATGTCGAAGAGCACCTCCAAACACAGTTTTGCTTCAGGATTGTTCAACAATACTTAAAAGTTCCTCGAAACAGCATCAAGGTATTTTTTTAATAGTTTTATTATTTCATCCCACGAATTTAGCGTTTTGGTGAAAATTGCAGGAAGCCAAATCCTTTGGCATTGAATATGAGAATGTTGAACTTTAACATAGTATTTCATTTACATACACTCACAGGCAAAATAATCGTTCCACACAAATTTGTTATATTGTTCTAAATTAAGTTTTAATTATTAAGTCACATCTATTTTTAACAGTTTTGTTTTTGGTTCACCTTGATATATTTATTTTTGTGGAAAATATGTTTTTTTGAACAACCTTGCAATTTCCAATATTTTTTCCATCCATAGTCTATGGAGGATGACAGTGACAGTTTTGTTGAATCATCCCATACTTGGACATGTCATATGATCTTTATAATCTGTGGTCATATTATATGAATCATATAACACGGTGCTGTTCTGAGAGGTGATTTTTGGACTTTCTGTGAAACCTAATTTTTTTTTATATTCTTGTTAATTAGGTCATAACTAAAATTTTAGGAGCAAAATAAAAAAAATTTGACGGTTTGAATTGTTTTAATTGGCTGTTTATTAAAAATATTATGCACTCTTTCAATTATCCAATTAAAACTAGCGATTTAATTTAAATATTTAATATTTGCATAACTAAAAAAAAGGTTTTTACAATTTTTTTTATATATTTTACTGTTTTGTTGCAATAAACGTTCAAACTTTTAATCTAACCTTTGACGTATACATTTATGTTCCCTTAATTAATATATCCTTAAAGGTTGCCATGAAACTTAGATCTATTAAAAATTTATTTGACGTTTGAATTGTCATTTTCATTATACGTATTCTATAATTTTTGTTTAGTTTTTTAAAGTGTTTTTTATAAACAAAAATAAAAAATTGTAGTAAAAGTTACGAAGAAATTCATGAAATTTAACTTAGGACCGGTTTATTCATCTTTAGTAAAGTTTATCGGGCCGATAACTTTTATGTCTTGGCAATATCTAGTATCCAAAGAAATTATTCGTCAAATAAATCAAAAATGAATAAATCGGCCCTAAATAAAATGTGGTACCCTTAGAATTATTATTTAATAAATGTATACTATACATTTAACCTTAAATTAAAACTTTAAACGTGTATTACAACAAAACAGTAAAAGATATAAAAAATGTATAGACCTTTTTTTAGGAAATTAACTAATCTTTAATCTGATTTAAAAAGTTATGATAATATTTAAATAAAATCGCAAGTTTTAATTGGAGAATTGAAAGTGTGCATACATATTTTTAATAAACACCAATTAAAACAAAATTAATGACAATTTTTTTTTATTTTGCTCTTAAAATTTTAGTTATGACCTAATTAACAAGAATGTAAAAAAAAATTAGGTTTCACAGAAAGTCCAAAAATCACCTCTCAGAACAGCACCGTGATAAGGCTTTCAAAAGCTATCAAATAGTTTTTTGCAAATTAATGTTAACTTTTGAGGTGTCTTCTTACTTTTAAAAATGGATATGTCTCCGACTGATGTTGCCAGAGCCATTGATTTTATTCAGGATGGATAGTCACAGTATTACGAGGCAAGTGCTTTAAACGTCACAAGAAGTAAAGTACAAAGGGCAACACCAGTCGGAGACATATACATTTTTAAAACTAGAAGACACCCCAAAATTAACAATTAATTTAAAAAAAAACAATTTGGTAGCTTTTGAAAGCCGTATATGACATGTCCAAGTATGGGATGATTCAACAAAACTGTTACTGTCACCCTCCATAAGCTATGGATGAACCATAGCATCCTTAGTTCTTCTACAGAAAAAATATTTTCCACAAAACTAAATATATCAAGGTGAACCAAAAACAAAACTGTTAAAAATAGATGTGACTTGATAATTAAAACTTAATTTAGAAAATATACGGTTTTGCCACTCTACAGAGTGTCTTAAACTTATGGTAAAAAACATATTTTTTTTTAAACCTGTATATTATAAACGTACGTCTATTTTTTAGTAATTTTTAAAATGTGAGCGATTCTCCATTAATTTATTTACAATATTCTTTAATAGTTGTTTAAATCCGAAATTAAATAAAAAAGTTATTTGCAATTGAAATTCATCGAAAATTTGTGTGGATCGATTATTTTCTTTATAACAGCCGCTTCTAATAATTTAAAATTTAATTCTCTTTAAAAAATGTATTGTGATTTTTATGGCAAACCAAAATACAAAAATTAGAGGCATCATACATTTTGGCTATAAACTTCGAGATGAGATCGGTCAATTTAAAAACCTATAACGAAACTAACTAAACTAAAAATAAAAAAACAATGGTGTAGGATGCTAATAGGTTAAATTAAAATAACGTGTAACACGAAAACGTAACACACCTTGACGTATGCAAATTTTATAACCGATCTAAAATTGTATGCATTATTTTATCTAACCGCAGGCACATGTGCCCTTTCAAATAACGCGATATCCAAATGCAGACATTTTAATTATTTAAAACATAATTTAAGTAAATCCATTGCATTAGTAATTACACTAAGCGGCAAGTGTATTGTGTTGTAAATAATTAAAATATTTCCAACAAAAATAAGTATGTATAAAAATAACGCTTTGTTTCACGCATACATATAAAAACTACCATTAACCTAACATAATAATTTTGTAACAAAGGTGAACTAACTAATAATAGATGTATATTTATGGTTGTAAATAATTGTTGAAAACCTAATAAATGTTTATAATAAATACAATAGGAGGAATTCTTAAAAGTTATGTCATACATTATATGTATTCATATAAAATTAATTAAATGTTAAATTTAATGTAAAAACCATACCTCTCTGTATACTAAAATAATTCATCTCTAAAGTATCGATACAATTATCTATATTAAAATTTAATGACATAGCTTTTGATAACAAATTAATTAGAATAAATTTGTGATATTATACAGTAGAACAAATTAAATCGTTTTCGGTTTTATTAAATTTATGTACGATAAATATAATTTGAACAATTTGTAAATGATTTAAATAAATTAATTTTGATGAAAAGGTGTTTTAATTTTTAGTTTAGGTATTGGAAGATATAAGGTAGGTTGGTGCAAGAAGGTAATAAATTTATATTTAAGTTGTAAAAATGGCGAATGCGCCGGGATTAATAGTATAATAAAATTTAAAAAAAATTCTTATATGAGTTTTACAGAACACTGTTAATTTTTTAGTCATTCTTGGAAAAATATTTTCTTCATATTTATATAAATAAATAAAAGAAAATAATTGCTTTGGGAATGGTTGCTGAATTACTAAATTATGACACATTACTATAAAATAAAATAAGAATTCTTAATATTTAGGATTCATTCCTTTTACCAATCAATACACAACGAAATGTTAAAAGTCAATAAGTAATAAATTTAAAAATTCATCTCTCTACTTGTAGTCTTAAAACATTTTTAAAATTTAATTTCTAACCTTTTCAGAATATTTTCCAAGCAGTGATAAAAAAATTAAAATTAAGATGTTCGCTTAAGGTAACAACTTAATGTACTTTACTTTATACTGTTTTATTTAAAATCTTAAAATAAGTTGTGAAAATAAAAATGAATTGTTCCGTAAGAAAAAAAATTAAAAAAAGTATTGGAACCAAAAATAAAGCAACAAAAAACATGCAGTGTGTTGAATTCAGCGAAAAATAATAATACAATTGTGTTTTTTTTAGTAATTTTCTTTAAAAACAAAATTATGGTAGTCACCAAATATCCCTAGATAATCATGGGTTCGTAATCCAGTGTTACCGGATCTTCTAGACGAAAAGGACCGATTGATAATTTTGGTTGTCACGTTAGAAGATATGCATTAATTAAATACATGGGCTAAATAGGAGATATATTTAATTAACGCATATCCTATAACATGACAAAAACAAATCAGGGTAAATCTCCGATGGTGTAACCCCGTCATATTTAATAAAACTAAATTAGTTTGACCTACACTTTTATTGTGTTTTGATCTTTCATAATTAAGTAGATATTACAGCTCAGGTTCCAGATTTTTAACCGCAATTAATTATTTTTTACAATGTTTTAAAAGTCTAAAACCTATCCTCCATGAATGTTACTCTTTCTAGGTTAACCTATATGTTTTCAAATATCTGAGGTGGTAAAAGAATACTAAAAATATCAGTTCACTAAGTAAATTTAACACATCCAAAGCAATCGAATTAAATTTAAAATATTATTAAAAATTAAAAGAAATAATTTTTTTAACCATTTATGTAGGTGTTACAAAAATTGATTCTATCCTCCGTGAATCTGTTTTTGCTTTAAATTTTATGCAACGGATGGCGCTTTAATCATTTTAAATAAGCAAAAACCTCTGTTTACGACATTAAAGATGCATGTGATTCCTGAAGGTCAGTTAGAATTTATATGCTATTTTATAATTTAAAAGTTTAGGTTCATTCATTTGCTATTTAAAAACCTATACACCGTGAAGTGTAATATCTCAGTAAGTAGATTTTTTTATAAAAATTTTATGTATGTAAACTTGTATTTTTAAAAAATATTAAGATGTCAAAAGATACAATAACATATTACAAATATACAAAGGGATGTTTAAAACAAACATACGAAATCCTAACCTCCATGAAGCTATAATATTCAAAATGTATGATTTCTTAGCCAACAAATATAAATATCACATAAATTACAGATTACATTACAGTTACGTGTAATGACATTAATGGGTGAGTTTAAAGAAACATTATATCTAGGGATATTATTTACAAATGTTACGCGATGTCGTGCATTTATTCTGGGTAGATAAAAGTTAAGCATTGACAAGAGAGTTGGTGAATCTATTTGATCGTGTAATAATTTATGCAAAAAAATTTGACTAAATATAAATCTTCTTTCTGTAAGTGATAGTAATAGAATCTTGATAGCAAGCTCTATACCTCTCTGAGAATACGAGGTGTGTTCAGAAAATATCGG